GTGCTTAAAAGCTCTGCCCAAGAAAGGTTCATGGCCACACTGGGATCCCAAACACCCAGTGTGGCTACCAGACGTTCTCTTAGCTTAAACCCATGTCTGAGCAGTCTTCTCTAGTGGGTAACCCCACAACACCTTAACTACATGAGACCCTGTCTGTTGTTGAAAACATCAATTGTTAATAAATGTTATTATTAAATAGCCTATAATTATTGCAGCAGTATTATCTAACCCACTATAATCAATAAAACACACAGACACAAGATAGATTTTAGAATAGCCTTATTTTACCTGGGGCTGGGCAGATACTAACTACTAAGCTACCTAATTACCTCCCAGCCCTCATCCCATGCCATTGAAAGACCCCTGCCTCACCCTAAGTTAAACATAGCTAACGCCATTTTGTGAGACACCACTGTTTTGTAAAACTCTGAAGGCCAGATGAAAAACTGGAAAATTACTGAGAAATCCTAGCTGTGTCACCCACTTGGGATATCTCTGGTCAGGCTGCCCCTGTTGAGTTAAAAACAACTTGTTGTGACTACCCTCATGGGATATCTGACAGAGGTTGTTCCAGCTGAGATAGGGAAAAACAAAATAACAGGTGGCCACATTAAGGGGTGGTCAATCTTGGTGCCCCTGCCAAACTTTGACGCAAATCGTGGTCTCATGAAAATGTACCAATCAGCCCCCTGTAACCATGCTTCTTGCTTCTGTACCAGTGCTTCTGCTCTAAAACCCTATAAAAACCCCAGCTTCCTACCTAGGGGGCGCAGAAGTCTCCCGAATGACTTTTCGCCCCGGGTACCCGTGTATCAAAATAAAAGCCTCTTGCTGTTTGCATCCGAACGCCTGGGCTCGTTGATCCTTGGGCAGGGGTCTCTCAGACGAAAGATACCCTCCGGGGATCTTTCACCATCTGCTTTAATCACTTCTATCTGGGCTATCTCCCATCCACATTCCCAAAACATTTGCTTATGCTCTTCAAATGGGCTGCTTCTCTCCATGTGGAACCTCAGTATTTCTCCTCTTAGACAGAACATGGTTCTTTTTATCATGGTGACCTATCTCTCATGTGATTCTCCTGTCCCCAAAGCCTGCAAACCTTGGCTCTGCCCCTTCTTTATGCCCTTCCCAGGTGTAGGCCTTTTATTTAGCCAAACAGGAATAATTTCTTAGGCAAGGTCACAACATCTTTTTGGAGTTTGTGAGCATCTACTCCGAAAAGACAGCAAGCAGATCTTGGGGAGCAAAAATAATCAACATTAAAATACATAGCACGAGACCAAATCCAACACCTATCTTAAATAAAAGATAGATAGATAGATAGATAGATAGATAGATAGATAGATAGATAGAATTTGCATCACTATATTAGTGATGCAATGAGACGTCAATTTAAAAAGCATTGTCATTGACTAAAAACAGTTAAAATGGAAGATACGCTATATTTAAACAAAAGTTCTATGCCATCAGGTAGATATAAATCAAATCAGGCCATCATGAAATAGTATGTGAAATCTGCTAGGATGATTGTAAAGTAGACAATGACTGGTGTTTAAGGATGTGAAGAAACCATAGACTCTTCATGAACTACTGTTAATGGGATTTCAAAATGATGCAATCCTTTTTGAAAACAGCTCAGCAGGCTCTGAAAAGGTTAATCTGCTGCATTACTGAGTGCTCTGGTAATTCTGTTCCTGTCAGGCGGTGGTGTTGCATGTCTTTAATTCCAGCACTTGGGAGGCAGAGGCAGGCAGTATGAGGCCAGCCTGGTCTACAGAGTGAGTTCCAGGACAGCCATGGCTACACAGAGAAACCCTGTCTCAAAAGAAACAAACAAGCAATAAAAAAGGAAACATGTTTACACAAAAGTTTTTGTCCAAATGTCCAAAAGCAGTGTATTTACAACAGTGTCAAAGCAGAAATAACATCATCAAAAAAATAACAAAACCCCACAAGATCATTGAAGTTAGAACTTTTAGGTTATTGTGTATATGAGAACCAGAAATCATCAACCCCAACCCCCCAAAAAAATCCCAGTTTTATAGAAGTTATTGTATGGTATAGAAAGTTCCTACTCAACAAGAAGGCTGGGCTTAGCTCAGTCGGTAGAGTCTGCCTATAATGGTATGTATTCAAGGGCAGGGGAAATCGTGTCGAGAGAGAGATGGAGGTGGTTAAAATAAATCAGTAGGAAAACAATGAAAAACGAATACACGCAACAGAAAAGAAACAGGTGAAAAGCATGAAGGAAGCAGTTGAAAAATCAATAACTGGGGTAGGTGTGGGTGGCACATGCCTTTAATCAACAAAGGCAGGTGGATCTCTGGGAGCTTGGTGTACATACCAATTCTAGTTCCAGGACAGCCAGGGCTACAAATGTGAGACTGTGTCTCAAAAGGGAAGACAGAGAGAGAGACAGAGAGAGAGAGAGAGAGAGAGAGGAAAGAACCAGTAAACATGTGAAACCTGCTCAACTTTATTAATAATTAAGAAACTTTAAATCAATACCATAGTACTATCCTATAGGGAAATATTTTTAAGTCTGTCAAATGAGAAACAAAGAATACTCCCAACACACAGCCTCTAGACAAGTTACTTTGTACAACTGCACTGCAAAGCAATCTAGCATTATCTAAGTTGAAGATAATCTGTCTCAAAATTCCTTTTATTTTAGCTGCTTGGTGGTTCAGACCTGTAATGCCAGCTACTAAGCATGCTGGAAGGGTAGAGTAATTATAAATTCAAGGCCACCCAGGAAGCTTAATGAGATCCTGTCTCAAAACTAGTAAATAGAGAAGCAGATAGGTGTGGTAGCAGTGGTAGAGGGCTTTCTTAGCTTGTACAAGGCCCTAGGTTCATTTTACAGTCTCTGTCTCACTCCCTTCCTTCCTCCCTGAGCCCCTCCTCCCTCTAGGTCTTACTAACCAAAACACTGTTGGCTAATCAAAAACTGAAAAATCACTTGGCTCTTGTTAGAGAAACTTCATTTAGACCTAGAGAATAAGTTTCAAACCCTAGTTTACAAAGAAAAGATAAGAACACCCTCAGATATAGAAACAGTGTCTACTGAGGTATGCCGATAAAGAAGTAAACTATTTGTTTCCTGAAAATAAGATAGAATTAGGGGAACCCAACAGGAAGAAAGCTACATAGTATGCTTTAGGAGCTGATTGTTTGGTAGGACTACTGTCTCTCACTATACAAGCAGAAGCACGTAGGATTATCAGGTGTATTCAATGTGCCTATAAGAAACTTAATGGGAAAAGTTATAAAAATCAAGTTCTTTTAATAATTACAGATTTGGGGTGGGGGTGGGGGCCGTGTTGACAGGCCCTCTGTGTAACAGCCCTGGCTGTCCTGGAACTCACTTTGTTGACCAGGCTGGCCTCAAACTAGCAAAGATCCACCTGCCCCTGTCTCCTGAGATTAAAGACATGGGCCACCACATCTGGTTATTGCATATTTTCTGATAAAGGCAATGATTTATATGTATTTATAAAATTTATACTTGTTGCCTGCAGTAGGTGTGTGTCTGTTACACTGACAGGCAAAAATAGTGCATCTGTGTAAAGTTGAAGAGGTTGTGGAAAACCTGAGACTTTGTTCCACAACCACTGATCTCGCAGTGCTGAGGATTTGTCTGTCCCCTGCTTCCTCCTGTCTTGTTCTCTCTGATCCCTTACACATTAGTACAGATTTTTATTCTAAGGAGCAAGAACAGTTGAATGTCACTGGACATTCATACAAATGCATACATTTTTTATAACAACCCTATTAAAGTAAAGTAAGCTCTAGTTCCCTCTCAATCTCTCCCCCCCCCCCTTTTTTAATTTTTTTTTTATATGGATATCACCACATAGCTCAGGCTGACTGGCCTTTGATTCACAGTCTATCTCTGCCTTCCTTCTCCAGGCGCTCCCTCACAGAGCTGGGTTTCTGGTGTTTCCTTTACTGGGTCGGCTTGAGCTCAGTTTGACGTTTCTTCAAGAGGCAAAATAATTCAGGATTATAAATTGAGACTTTTTTTTTTTTTCTTTCTGGAGACCGGGTTTCTCTGTGTAGCCTTGGCTGTCCTGGACTTGCTTTGTAGACCAGGCTGGCCTCTGAACTCAGAGATCTATCTGACCCTGCCTCCGTGAGTGCTAGGATTATAGGCACGTGTGCCACTGCGCCCTGTGTGACTCGGTTTGTTATTGTTGTTTGTTTTAATGCTAGGCTGCTGCATCTGACCACAGTCTCTAAGACTGAAAGACAAAGTAATGACACGGTTACTTTAGATGTGAGAAGCCAGTCTTGATAATCTCAAGGACACTACACAAGAGAAGGAATTCCTAGTCATGGACAAGTGTTCCTGTATGAACTTATGAAAAAGTCATGCTTCAGGGCCTTGCTACAAAATATAGAAACATCCTGTTTTTCCGCCTTTATTGTGGTAATGCACGACCCCTCAAGGGCTTCAGTTAGTACCCTTTCTTGTGTGCCCTTAACATCTTTCATTATATTGCTGTTGTTGTTGTTAGTAATAGTATTGTGTGTGTGCATGCGTGCACACCTGAGTGTGTGTGTGTGTGTGTGTGTGTGTGTGTGTGTGTCTACCGCACATGCATGCAGGTGCTCCGAGATGCCAGAAGAGGGCGTTGGATCCCCTGGAACTAGAATAATAGGTGAATAAGAGTACCTGATGTGAGTGCTGGAGATACAAGCAGGAGCCTTCTCCGCAGCTCCTAAACATGACTTCTCTCCATCAGCTGAACTGAAAACACGATTGATTGTTGGTGCGCTTGCATTTAACAAACCTGGCTGTTTGAGCTCCCTCCCCCCAGCCTCTTCCACAGCGTCCCGGGGCTTCACTCGACCCCGCCCCGCGTCCTGGTTGGCTGCTGGGTGGGAGGCTCGTTCCTTCGCTCCTATTGGCCGCCCAGGGAGGTGCGTCTCGCGTCTCGGGATTGGTCTCCTGGAGGAGGCGTCTCTACCAGCTGTGCGCTGGTGGCTATTTCCGGAGTAAGATGGCTGCAGCGCGTGTGCTGGGGACCTGGAGCCGGAGCGCCGTCCGACTGGTAAGCAGCATTGTATGGGTTGAGGTTGGGAAGGAATGACTTGGTAGATGTTATCTGGAGTGGTGTGTTGCTTTCTTCGAGTGCCGCGCGTCCTGTGAGCAAGCGACGGGAGGATGCTTGCAAACAGAAGGGCAGCGAAGGTGGTGCTCCGGTGAGGCTGGAAACTCGTTCCTTTCTCTTCCCTGGGCGCGATTCAGTGGCGATTAACTTTGGGCGATTAGCGTTCCTCCCAGGGGTATCTACATCCTGCCTTTTGGCCTGCTGGCCTTTGCTTGAGTGCCTTCTAGATGGTAGGCATTGTGATGAGCACGGCAGACACAGAGATAGATACATTTGTTGGGGATTTGTTGAGTACCTACCTCGCGCCTGTTAACCTGGCACTGTTAACCTGATCTCAGGCGAATTTTCAGTGTGGAGGAACAGAAGAGAAAAAGCAAGACCGTGCTCTGTAGCTTGAGATTCACTGGGGGCTGCGCTCCTTGGTCCACACTAGCTGCCGTTCCAACTTTTTATCAGCTGTTTACCACCTCCATTTGCGTGCAGTTCCCCCTTACTCATAGGCTTCTAGCAACAACCGTAGAGGTACCCCACTAAGTTTCTTCCAAATTACATTACTTCTTGGATACCGACTTTCCCCATCCCCCTAGATGTTCCTAGGCCCTCCTGATCTCACAAAACCTTTTCACCGCCTGCTGTGTGTACTGGGCGCTGGGGATATAACTGTAACACAGCCGCCGTCCCTTTGCTCCTGAGATTGTAACCTAGTAAAGGAGAACAGGTGAGAGGGAGGCCGGGAAAGACAGAATGCCACGGCTTTAGAATACATCAGAGAAGTGTTGTTATGGAACAAGTGCTCAGAGCAGTGGACACCTGTGCAGGAGTGGGGCTCAGAGAGGAATTCCTGAGGTAAGGAGATTGTGAAGAAGTAGGAAGTAGTCAATCCAAGAGGACTCTTGTCGGGTGTTATTGGCAGCTCTTCTTCTCAGAGCTCTCCCAGACGCCAGTTTCCCAATAGTCTTCTTAACATCTTTAGTTTCTTGGTTCCACTGCCCTCTTTCTCTCTCCAGCTTCTAAATACTGTCTTAAAAGGAGTCATACACTGCACAGACTTCAGGCAACAGTGGTTCCATAACCTTATGACAGACCTGAAGATTTCCTATGACCTTTTCCGTCTTTTGATGTGTGTGGATACACAGACACAATGGTGTTACAATTGCCTACAGTGTTCAGTGGAGTGACACGCTGGACAGGCTTGCAGCATTAGAGCCAGCGTATAGCTTAGGTGGATAATAAGCTAGACCATTTGGTTTGTGTAAGCCGAAGGTGCACTCATAGACTAAATCATCTAATAATGGAATTGCTCACAGACCTTCATTAAGTGATGTATGACTACTTTCTTCTAAAAAAAAAAAAAAAAACCCTGGCTTTAGCACTTTTCCTATTGCTTGTGTTATCTCTCTCACTTCTTTGAATATATTCACCAGCTGTGTTAATGGTTCCCTGACATACCCTAGTCTTCCAAATGGGTCATATATTCTGTCCAAGAGATCTCTAGTTGCACAATATGAGGTGTTTTTCATTTGTAAGTGACACAAATCCAGTGAATGGACAGGACATCATTTGTGCATATAGATGACAGCTGACGTACATGACTGTCAGAATCAGGGTTGATGTTTTAGCAGTTCTTTTGGCCTTTCCCATATGGCCATAAAGGAGCTACAACAACTCATTCAGTATTTAAGGCAGGAAGGAGGATGACGTAAGACTGTTACATGGCTACTGCTAGCATAAGGTTGCCTGGAAAAGCTAGCCTTTAGCCATCTCACAGTGTGTGCCATGATGCCTCAGGGATGCAGACCTGGGCCCCAGAATAGAACCCTCAAACCTGTTTCTCTTGATTCTAGCTTCCTTAGATCTGAAGAAATTTAGCCGCTTTTTATCACAACACTCTTAGGTGCAGGTGTCTTAGTATTTCCTAATTGGGCCTCTGGCCTCTGATGTGACTCTTTTGTAGTTAATTTCCCATAAGCCAGCCATAATGAGCTGATAAAATAAAGCACACATTCGATTATGCCATGTTCTTGCTCTTTTTAAAAATGTCGATAAGCCACATGACTGAGGAAATTCATGATCTGGCTTATCCCACCTCTCAAGCATCATTCTTTATTAAAAGCCTGTTTATTCTACCCTTCATCCTCCTCTTACCCACTCTCCTTTGATTCCCCTTTCCACATCCTTAATTGTCCCTCTTTTACTTTCGTGCATTCGTTCTTAAATTTGACATATGAGACAACCTTCTGTATCTGCCTCTGTGAGTACAGTTTATTTCATTTAACGAGGTGATCTTGAAAAACCATTTGCTTTTATTTTACCTCTTTACTGGACATCGATTATAGGCGCCAGTGAAATAAGATTAGATTAAAAGTAACATTTCTACAAACACACACACACACACACACACTCACACACACACTCACACACTGCTCATTCCAGTCCCGACTCTGACAGTGCCCCCGCTTGCCACATACTAACCTGCATGAGAACCCTGTGAAATAATTAGCTGAGCACACACTGCTCTCTTGATTCCAGACCTTTGCTCATATATTTCCTCTGCCTTGAAGACTCTTGCCTCATCTGCAGCTCTGAGGTGTCCTGGGTTACTCCCACTCAGTCTCCAATCTTACTTCAAGCTAACTCCCTCCAGCTAGGTGCCTTTAGCACATGCTACTGTGGCTGTGTTCGTAGCCTGTGTGCTTCACTTGCTTTATTGTTCACTCTACTGGACACTGTGGAAAGGAGTCTCATGTGTTTCCTTCTGTAACCCCAGTATCCCACACATTATGTGCAAGTGAATGTGAATATTTGTTGAATGTGTCAGGAAAAGAAATTTTTGCTTTACTTTTTTTTTTTTTTTTTTTTTTTTTTGAGCCAGGATCTCCCTGTGTAACTGTGGCTATCCTGGAACCCAATTTATAGACCAGGCTCTGAGTGCTGGGATTAAAAGTGTGTGCACCGTCTTCCTGGCTTCTGTTCTTAACTAGTATGATAGGCCCTCTCTGGTTTAAAATTGTATTTTTTTTCTCCTTTCTGTTGCCTTTTAATCTTTTCACTTTTGCTAATTTTTAGTCTCTCCCCTCTTTCTTGTCTAAGCCATCCAATTGCTATCAATTACGTAACACCCATTGCGCCTCAGTAGCCTTTTCTCAGGCCCTGTTGATCAAATCTTTCAGGTGCCTGTGTTTCATGTGTCAATTGACTACAATCCTGCCTTGGCCGCTTTCTCTTCAGACTTTACCTGTAGTAACCTGTCCGAAAACTATTAGTAGACCGTTTCTTAATCCTGTCTCTAATGTGACCCCTGCCATTGCGTAATTCCCACGCCTTATCCTAGCCTTCACAGACATGACACCAGCAACCATTAAGTATCCACTGCTTTCCTTTACAAATCTAATCAAGCCAAGCCAAGCTACTCGCTGCTCCTGCAGCCATGCTGATCACCTTCCTGCTTCAGGTCTTGTGTTTACATCACTTCCTGGGCCTTAGAAGTATCCTTCTGTTCTTTGCTATTCACCCTTATTGTGCAAGGTCAAATTTACATCTTCTCCATGGTCACACTGACCCTCCTTCACCTCTCCACTTAAATGCTTTCCCCCACAACTACTTTGTTTTGGCTTATAATTTCTTATTACAAATAAGAGCACACATGACCATGCTTGGGAGAAAGAAGGAATTGTTTCTCCTAGATTATAGCTTGGAAAGAAAGGATTCTTTCTCCTAGCAACGTGATGTGTCAGTAAGAGCCTGGATTTTGCCATCAAGTTCACTTGGCTTCAGAGCTTAATTTTGCCACTTCATTGCAATGTGACCTAGGACAAATAACTTCACCTTCTCTGTCAACTTCTCACATGAGGGTAATAAGTCATCTTGAGGAGATAATGTGAGCTGGAGAGAAGGCAATGTACGTGGTACACAGTAAGCAAGCAATTGGAGTGCATTTTAATTGGTTTAATTGGTAGTTTCTGTCCCCCAGTCTATTTGTAGTTCCTCAGTAAGAGCTGTGTTGATGAAGGGAGAACCTTCTACAGTTTGATTTTCTTCCAAGGTTTTAAAGTGAGCTATGTTATTTAAATCGAGATGAATTTGTATACTTCATAATTTTCATTAAGCACCTCTACATTGTGTATCTGAAGAAGCAGAGGTGTGGTTACTTTTTTGTTGACCAAGAGCCAGGGTTGAGAACGTTGAGGAGAAAGGAAGGACAAACACAACAGGGTGTTTGGAGAGTCCTGTCAATATCTGCTCAGCTTTACGCTGTCAACTTAAATGACTTATAAGGCTTTGTTGCTCCTAAATGTTACTCTTGATAAGAATGAAATATAGGCACTAGAGACAGGTGAGAGGGAAAGACACTTGCAACACAGGTCTGAGGACCTCAGTTCCATCGCTGGAACCCATGTCAAAAGCTGGATGGGAGGGATCAGGGGTGGAGAAATGGCTCAGTGGTTAAGAGCACTGTCTGCTCTTCCAAAGGATCCATGTTCAATTCCCAGATTGCTGGCCAGCTAGCCTAGAGTATGCAGCTAGACTGAAACAGCAAGAGAGCCTCAAAATGAGAGGAAGGAGAAAACTGACTCCTGAAAGTTGTCCTCTATCTTCTACATATGTGCACTCACATTGTACATTCACCATAGGCATACGTACATACATACGTACATACACAGTAATACCTCATAGCCAAACTTTGAGCAGAGTGCAGGGAATCTTATGAAAGAAGGGGGAGATAGAAAGACCTGGAGGGGACAGGAGCTCTACAAGGAGAACAACAGAACCAAAGAGTCTGGGTCCAGGGGTCTGTTCTGAGACTGATAGTTCAACCAAGGACTATTCATGGAGATAACCTAGCTCAGACTCCAAGTAAGGGAAACAGGCTGTCTCTGACATGAACTCAGTGGCTGGCTCTTTGATCACCTCCTCCTGGGCGGGGGGCAGTCTTACCAGGCCACAAAGGAGAACAATGCAGCAAGTCCTGATGAGACCTGATGGGCCAGGGTGAGAGGGAGAGGAGGACCTTCCCTATCAGTGGACTTGAGGAGGGGCATAGGAGGAGAGGAGGGAGGAAGGGCAGGAAGGATTGGGAGGGGGTGAGGGTGGGGGCTACAGCAGGGATACAAAGTGAATACATTTAATTAGTAAAAAATATTTTTAAAAATTAAGTATTATAAAATTGAGTTATATGTACATGGGAGACTGTCTATAATTCTGGCATGTGGGAGGCAGAGACAAGGAATCCCCAGAGCAAGATGGGTAGGGAGACAAACTGAAATGGTGAGCTCTGGGTTCAGCGAGAGTCCCTGCTACAGTGTATAAGGTGGACTGCCATCAGGAAGACAGTCAGGGTCAAGCTCAGGCCTCCATGTGCACATGCTTACATACATGCACCCATAACATTTGAACATGAAAACACTTGGATGTGCGCACACACGCATATGGGAGTAAAGAGGTGATTCAGATGAGCTCTTTAAGGTAAAGTCAGCATACATAATTTCAGAAATGAACCCTCAGGTTTTCTTTGCCTTCAGAAATCAGAAATAACTGCCACTCAGTAATTTAAATATAGGTTCACGTACATACGTACATACAGGCAAACCACTAATACACATAAAATAAAACAAATAATTTTTTTAAAATTAAGAACTTAAATATATTCTATAGTTAGACTTTTACTTATCATTATTATTATTATTATTATTATTTTGGTCTTTCAAGACAGGGTTTCTCTATGTAGCCTTGGCTGTCCTGGACTTATTTGTAGACTAGGCTGGCCTTGAACTCAGAGATCCGCCTGCTTTTGCCTCCCAGAGTACTGGGATTACAGGTGTGTGCCACAACTCCTGGTTTCTTCTTCCTTTTCCTTCTCCATCTTCTTTTCTTTTTATATTACTTGCTTTTAGAAAAAAGAATAAAATCCTTACTTATAAATATATATGAAAATATGACTTGGAGCCAGGCGTGGTGGTACATGCCTTTAATCCCAACACTCAGGAAGGCAGAGTCAGGTGGATCTCTGTGAGTTTCAGGCCAGCCTGGACTACATAGAGAAACACCTGTCTCAAAAAACCAATAAAAAAATATATATGACTTGGGAGATGTAGGTGGGAGATCCCTTAAGCCCCAGTGTTCAAGATTAACCTGGAGCCAGCCAGTGGTGGCCCTCGCCTTTAATGCTAGCCCTTGGAAGGCAGAGGCAGGTGGATCTCTTAGAGTTCCATTCCAGCCTAGTCTACAAAGCAAATTCCAGGACAGTCAGGACTTACACAGAGAAACCTTGTCTCTAAAAACAAAGAAGCAAGCAAACAAACAAATAAAAATATAAAAACCACTTAAAAAGAAACAGAAACAAAGAGTGTAAAGCCCTGCCATCCTGGTGTATGCCTTTAATCCCATCACTCAGAGGCAGGTGGATCTCTGAGTTTGAGGATAGCTTGGTCTTCAGAGTAAATTCCAGGACAGACAGGGTGACACTGAGAAACCCTGTCTCAAGACTATCCTGGGCAGCATAGGGAAATCTGTTGCCACACCCCAAATAACTAATGAACACAAGTGATATGATGTTCTCTAAGCAAAAGTAACTTTTGTATAAATGAAAGTTTTAAATAAATACCAGTTTTCTTAAAAAGAAAGAAAGCTAGAAATTGTTGTAGTTTATATTTAAAAGGTGAGGTAGTATTCAGATTAATAACACTGAAAAGTTAACTTTAAGAATAAATTATAATTTAAGGACACTTAGGTTTTGCTACATAAAGCTGAATGTATTTAGGCCTAATGTCTTGGTTCCATCCTAAGGCATTATAAAATGAGTTAACAGAATCATCTATAAATTAGTATAAGCCAGCCAGTGAGAGGGCTGAAGAACAGCTCTGCGGTCCAGACAACTGGGTTTCGGTTCCCAGCACGCATGGAGCAGCTCACGACTGTCTAACTCCAGAGTTCAACACCTCCTTCTGGCTTCCGGGCAGCAGGCATGCACATGGTACACATACATAACGCGTAGGCAAACACTCATATACATAATATTGAAATGAATATCTCTTAACAAGAACTATTGTTTGTTTTTGTTTTGTTTTCTCTTTGGTAGACTTGTGTTCGCTATTTTCAAACATGTAATAACGTACATGTTTTGAAGCCGAAATGTGTGTGTTCCTGTTATCCTTTGCACAAGTACAATCAACCACACCACTCCCTGAGAACAGCAGCTGGTGAGTTTACTCCCAAAATAGCGTGTCAGAAAAAGTCCTTATCTTTACCGATTCTTCTTCTCAGGAAACAGAACTTTTTTACCAGAGTAAAAAAGTTGTCCCTGTATTTCTATCCATTTCCTATTTTCTGTCCCTCTCCATTCTGTACTTTCCTGTAACACTTGTGTCTTTTTACCATCGAGGCTGGGTTATACCCGCTCATCTGTTCTTTTTTTTTTTTTTTTTTTAAACACATGATTTTACATATGAGTACTCTGTTTATGTATGCCTGCGTGACAGAAGAGGGCACCAGATCTCATTACAGATGGTTGTGAGCCACCGTGTGGTTGCTGGGAATTGAGCTCAGGACCTCTGAAAGAGCATCCAGTACTCTTACCCACTAAGCCATCTCTCCAGCCCCCGGTCATCTGTTCTTTATTCTCTGATTTTCTAGGTACAATCATTAGCACTGATGTGACCTCAGTTAAGGTAAATTGTTGATTAATAGAGTCATCTGTACATCCTTGTGCACAACCCTTCTGTCTGTGAGGTAAAACTTTTTTTGTTTTTTTGAGATAGGGTTTCTCTGTGCAGGCTCACTTTGTAGACCAGGTTAGCCTCGAACTCACAGTGATCTTCCTGCCTCTGCCTCCCAAGTGCTGAGATTACAGGCATGTGCCATCATGCCCGGGTTGTAAGATGAAACTTAATCTGCTGTTAGGATGGCCTGACGTAATTACCCTGACTGTCTGTGTGGACAGTCCCTGGCTTTTATCTGCTTACCTTTCTCCCAGTTACCTAGCCTGTGTAAATAACTTGAAGCCTCAAGTATTAGATTTGGCAAAGGCATAAGAGCTTTTTTCCTGCTGGTCTATTGAGAACTCTGACCCAGAACCCTAGATTTCATTGCATACTCAAGCATGTGGCAGATACAAGGCCCTTAGTGCGTGCTGACAGTGACCATCAGGGAACTTTCTAGGCAGGTTCTGCCCGATTTCCCACGCTTTTGTATGCCATCCTCAGTCACCTCAGACAAGGTGAACTTTACACTGACCACTGTTTTTGAAGCGGTTTGGATCTGTTTATACAAACACACTGTGTATGTCTTTTATCCCTGGCACAACCTATGTACTATGTATAGTAATTTATTTTGGTAATTGTATAGGTGGAAAGTGTGTGTTTGTGTGTGTCTGATGTGTGGTTTATGTGTGTATGGTGGGGGGGGCATATTTGTGTGTGCTATGGGTGTGTGTAGTGTGTGGGGTGTATGTATTTGTGTGCAGTTAGTGTGGTGTATGCGTGGTGTGTTTGGTGTATGTTTGTGTATGTGTGTGCTGTGTGTGCTGTGTGTGATGTGGTATATGTCTGCTGTGTGTGTGATGTAGGGGGTGTGTGTTGTGTGTGTATGTATATGCTGTATGTGTGTGTGCTGTGTGTGTGTGGTGTATATATGGTGCGTGTATATGTGGTGCATGTATGCGTTGTGTGTGTGTACTTGTGTGTGTGTGTGGTGTGCAGCGTGTGCTGTGCTGAAGATGAAACCTAAGCCTTCCTTAATTAGGCTCACTCTGTTCAAGCCAAGACTTCCCCTTTTAACCCGGACCACTGTTACTTCCCAGAGAAAGTAGAGGCCACTGAGAAAGAACAGCAACTTCCTGCTTTGTCCTCTAAGCACTTCTCATGAACGTGTTTGTCGATCACAGGTTATGTGAGCTCCTGTTTGTTTGTTTGTTTGTTTGTTTGTTTGTAACTCTGGCTGTCCTGAACTCGCTACACTGTGAACATTCATTCAGGAAGTGTTTGTGGTCTCTTGTGTGCAAGGGACACTGCCTGAGGCACATACCAGTAGACAAAACAGGGATCTTTACACAGGACAGACTAAACAAAGTCAGTATATGTTAAAGTATCTGCTATCTTTGTCACTCAACACCCTTTGAAGGCTCTCTTACCTTGCTTAATGGAGAGAGGAAAGAAAAGTCTTAGGGATGATTTGGCAGAACATAATTTGTGCATACTAGAAGTGCTTAGGCAGGGTAGTACGTATAATCCCCAGCATCTGGGAGGCAGAGGCAGGCAGATTTCCGAGTTCGAGGCCAGCGTGGTCTACATATCGAGTTTCGGAGCAGTCAGAACTACAGAGTAAAACGCTGTCTCAAAAAGACAAACAACAACAGCAATCATAAGTAGTTGCCTGGTTGTTGTCATAAATATGGCGGGTGGAACCTTTATCCCAGCACTCAGGAAGCAGAGGCAGGCAGATCTCTATGAGTTTGAGGCCAGCTTGGTCTACAAAGTGAATCCAGGACAGCCAAGGCTACACAGAAACCCTGCCTCAAAACAAACATTATCATCATCATCATCATCATCATGATAATAATAATAAATAAATAAAAATATGGAGGATGGTTACTGGAAGTAAGAGGTCTCACTAAGAGCAGGCCATTTTTTGTACATTGGTATTGTTACAGACTGTCAGGAACTTCTTAGGAGAGACATAATCCTATCAAAAAGCATAATTTGGCAAGTTAGAAAACATAAGTTCTGTGGCAGTGGGCCTGTGTCTTGAAGTAACTTTTGTAAATCCTTGAAGTAACTTTTCTATGCTTTTTTAAAAGTATAAAATGCTGGGACTTTTTTTGTTTTGGGGGTGGGTTTGATTGATCAGTTGATTTGGTTGACTATAGGGTGGATCAATTTCTGCCTCTGCTTGAGAACACATTCTAATTTTAAAAATAAAAGCATCTATTGATAATACATATTTAATGAGATCGTTTCCTCTTTGTTTTTGAAGTACTGCAAGGACAGGTTGTTCAGTTCAAACTCTCTGACATTGGAGAAGGGATCCGAGAAGTAACTATTAAAGAATGGTAAGTTAATTTCAAATGGTCTTAAGTCAATGTAAAATTAATTGAATGTATAAAAAGTACACACTGAGAAATGTCTTTGCTAATATGCTGGTAGCAGAAATTAGTCCACAGATAACTTTCTTTGATGTGACTTATTAGTGATTGTTACTTTATTTTATGTATGTCTGTTTGCCTTCGTGTATGCGTGTGCACCAGCTGTATGCCTAGTGTCCTCAGAGACCAAAAAGAGGGTATAGAATCCCCCAGAACTGGAGTTAGAGATGGTTGTGAGCCACCATGTGGGTGCCAGGAATTGAACTCGGTACCCTTGATGAATGAGCCATCTCTCCATCTCTCCGGTCCCTGTTTCTTTCTCTTTTAAAAAATACTTTAACTGTCTAGTTTTTACTTCAGGTAAAAAAAAAAAAAAAAAAAAAGGCTGATTTCTAAGAGATAATAAACTGCTATAAAACCAGTGCAGAGCAACAATCAAATCCAGTGCCGCGAGCCTGCAAACCAGGCACACCACCTCTTCAGTTACACCCAGCCCGTCATGGCTTTAGCAGAATCTAATGCATGAACTTCCTAGTATTTTAAAATAATCCTGTCATCTAACTTTGCTAATCAAGAAGGCCTGATCCATGTTACCTAGCAAGCCTCGCCTGTAGGCTTACAAGACACATTTACCTGAAAGACACAAGTGAAAAAATTCTCCTGAAAACTTAAAAAATTAGGACTGCAGAGATGATTCAGAGGATAAGAGCATGGACTGCTCTTCCAGAGATACTGAGTTCAGTTTCCGGCAACTATGTCTGGCAGCTCACAACTGCCTGTAACTTCACTTCTAGGGGGTCCTATGCCTCTGGCCTCAACAGAAAACTGTAAGTGCCCTCATGTTTGCGTGTCCCTTCAATTAAAAAAAAAAAAAACAAACTTGTAAAATTATGTACTATAGATAGAAAAAATAATAGGTAGATGCATGCATGCATACATACATACATATATACACACATACATAGATGCTTGGAGCAAAAGTCAGGAGTCTTCATCCTTTTGTGTCTTTCATCTTACGGGGAAAAATATTTCTTGGTAATGAACTAAATTTTAAAGGTTTTTATTAGTAGCAGTTATGATGACTAAATAGATTTCTCTCCCCTCCCCCCAGATAGGATTTTGCTTTATAGTCAAAGCTAACCTCAAACTTGCCATCCTCCTGCCTCAGCCTTCTGTGTCCTCAATGCCGGGATACTGGTTATGTTCCACTGCTCAAGGCTCAAAGATTGTTTAAAGAAGCAGACTGAGGCTGGTAAATGTCATTTCTTCCACTTAGCAGTCTTTGTTTTGTAAGCAGAAGATTTTAGTAACCAGCCTTCCTTGATGTCTTTCCCGGTGCTGTGTGACCCTGGGGCGAGCCATGGACTCAGAGGAGCCTGGCTTTAAAACTAGCTGCCTCACCTAGGACTCACCTGTGCTCTGCTGAGCCACTGTCTCCCCACAGTGTGGAGTCAGGTAACAGTCATGGCTTTTGCCATGATTCAAATGTAATGTCTAGGAAATGTCTCACATTCCAAAGGACTGCGTACATTTGACTTACTAATGTTTTACTTCAAGACCAAGTCTACTCTTGGTCTTGAAGCGATTCATAACACTTCCTAATTTCTATCTTATTAATTTTGTAGATCTACGTGCATAGTAAAGGGGTTTAAGGCTCTTAGAAGAGGAAATTGTTTTTTTCCTAATGAGACTCTTAAGGCCAGGCCTGGTTTTCTCAGCTACTTTGAAGGGTGAGGCTGGAGGATCTCAAGTTTGAGGTAAGCCTGCACTACACAGAGAGAATCTGTCCCCTGCACTCCACATCTGATAGTTGTTTTTTGTTTGTTTATTTCTTTTTTTTGCATCTCAATACATAGCCTAGGCTGGTCTTGAACTTGTGATCCTCCTGCCTATGTCTCCTGAGTGACAGGGTCACCAGTATGCATATCACGCCTGGCTCTCAAACTTGCCTAAATGACAAACATGTCACATGTTTCCCATGAGTTCTTAAGAATTAGTTAAGAGTTTTCTTAACCAGCATTTCCTCTCTAACGTAATATTTACAAATGACTGAAAGAAAAATATGTACATTATGTTATACTTGAAAAGTGCTAAAAATAAGATTTTATCTGAAGAATAGTGTAATCCCAGCACTTGGGAGGCTAAGGCAGGAGGATGACTCTGCTGAGGCCAGCCTCAGCTGCATAGTGGGATCCTGGAGAGCAAGAGGCGATGATAGCCACACAGTTGGGTCACTTCCATTCTGCTAATGCTTGCTTTTTTTATTGTAGTGTGTAAACCATATGTAGTTTATGTAATTACTAATAAGGTAAGATTTTTGTCTGTCATTTTGTTGATGCTTCATGTGTTTGTGTTTATGTATTTTGCCATCACTACCTTCTTAACTAGATATTTCTGGTGTACTGTTTGAGAATTCTCCTTTTAACTCATCTGTCATTACCTTTATTCTTCTTCATTTCTTCATGGGGATTTGACTTATTGTTCAGTGTTCTCAATTTCAGCCAGAATAATTCTTAATATTTCCTGAGAGGTGAATGTGGCAATCGCTAGTTTTATCCGTTTTAGTTCTGGGAAAGTGTTAATTTTTATTATTTTTGCACAAGAGTGCAAGGTACCCTTAAGATAAGAGTTATAAGTGAGCCCTGGAACTGGAGTTACAGGTATTATGAACCACCTGGTATAGGAGCTGGGAACCAAACTTGGGTCCTCTGCAAGAGCAATACATCTTGGCATGCTAAGATGGCTCTGAGCCATCTCTGTAATTCCTCCTTAGTTTTGTTGTTGTTGTTGTTTGTTAAAGATGTATTTATTATATAGTGTTGTGCCTGCACATCAGAAGAGGGCACCAGATCTCACTATAGATGGTTGTGAGCCACCATGTGGTTGCTGGGAATTGAACTCAGAACCTTTGGAAGAATAGCCAGTGCTTATAACCTCTGAGCCATCTCTCCAGCCCTCCTCCTTAGCTTTAAGAATAGTTTTCCTAGCCATAAGCTTTAGTTTTCAGATGGGGTCTCTGTCTCTAGCCCTACCTGGACTGGAACTAACAGAGATCTGTATGCCTCTGCCTCCTGATTGCTGAGGTACGTACTATACCTGGCTCAAGAAAATATAAGATTAAAAGATTTTTGATTTATTAATTTGTCTTGATGTACATGAGGACTTTGCCAGCATGTACGTGTGCACATCACACCCTTGATGCCCACAGATAACAGAAGATGGTGTCCATCCCCTGGAACTGTAGTTACAGGCAGTTTCCAGCCACCACGTGGGTGCTGGGAACCAAGCCGTGGCCCTCTGCGAGAGAAGCATGTGCTCTTAACCTCTCCATCCCCCTAATGTAATATTTTTCAGGGTAGTCTTTTTCTTTCACTCACCCATTAAATGTATAACCTTCCACTTCCCAGAATTCTTGGATTCTGATTAGAGAGCACCTCTTCATCTCAGGAGCCTTCCCTTTTTGTGGTTCTTATCTTGCTTTCTAGAGTCTTTTCATTTTGGTGTGTGTGGCTGTTGCTCTCTTTGAGTTTATCTTTGGAATCAACTCAGCTTCTTGCTTGTGTATATCAAGTTTTGAGCTAATATTTTATTTTTTTAAATTTGCTCTTGTACTTTATATCATTTTCCTCTTCCTTCCCTCCAAACTCTCCCATATACCCCTCCTTACTCTTTTTCAAATTCATACCTTTTTTAAAAATTGTGTTACATATATATGGATATACATACATACATTCATACAATTTCTAAATACATAAATATAACCTGTTTAGTCTGTATAATGTTACTCATTTGGTAATGGATAATCAATTAGTGCGCTCTCCCTGAGAAAGACTGTTTCTCTTTCAGCATTCCTTACTTGCCTGTAGTTCTTGGTGTAGGGTTGAGGCCCATGGTGTTCCTGTCCAGTTTGGCCTCTCTATTGTTATTGTCCTTGTTTAGTTCATGTTTAGGCTGCCATGCTGCTGAGACTTTACCGGTGTAGCTTCTGACATGACTAGGAGACACAGTCTGATGGCAAAGTCGCTGATCCTCTGACTCTTACTATCCTCTGCCCCCTTTTCCACAAGAGGAAGGCTTTAGTTTTGAGAGTGTTCTCTAGATGTATCCACGGGGACTGGGCTCCACATCTCTGCATTTTGATTGGTTATAGTTTTCGATAATGGCCTCTGAGAAGGAGATGAGGACCACACTTACCTGTACATATAAGGACAAATGTTTGGAATGTAACTAGCGATTACTCTGGTTTGGTAAAATGGAGGTTGTAGGTTTTCCTCCATGACCCATAGTTTCACTAACCTTGGTAGTTTTCTAGGTTTTAGTCCTAGCCACAATTACACTGTTGTCGAGCGAGCCTTAGATCTAATTAGAGAGCTGCTGGTTACCAAGGTGAGCTCTGCTGCACACTGCACACTGAGGGTTATTATGCATGCTACTCTTTGTTGTGGTACACAGGTGTCATCGCCGGGGAAGACTGTTAGTTGCCTCCCTCCTTTGGAAGCTTATATGACTTTCTGGAACCATGAAAGCTAGTCCTCAGGGAGGAGGCATTCAGGTCAGTTCTAGCTCAGGAGCCCCGAGGTCTGCGTGGTGTCTTCAGCAATAGAGACTTACATTCCACCTCTAGGGAGCAAACAAGGGTGAGAGCAGCAGTCTGTAACATTAGGTAAGTCTCTTCGACAACCCTGAAACAGCTCAAAAGAGGCCTTCTCTGAGGCTGGAGAGATGGCTCAGGAGTTAAGAGCACCAGTTGCTCTTCTGGAGGACCGGGATTCACATGGCAGCTCACACCTGTCTGGAACTCCAAGATCTGACACCCTCACAGAGACATAAAATATGCAGACAAAACACTAATGCACATAAAACAAATAAAAATAACTTTTTAAAAAAGAAGGCTTCTCGTGCCTGGTTAGATTTTGTTAGATTTTGGCTCTTGGAAAAAGGCTGGTCAGCTTACATGAAAAAAAAATTCATGTAAATTATTTATATACAGTTATGTATATTACACATTTGTTTTATTTTGTTTTTGTGTTTGTTTGTTTATAAAAGTAGGTAGTTAATAGTATCTTCCTTGTGGCCTTTCCAGACGTCATTATTTTTATGTCACCTTCCTTTTTTTGTATTCCTTTTTTTGTATTTCTCTCCTTTTCTCCAATTAGTGCCCCTCATTTTTTCAGTTTTCCCTATCAAATCCCTTGTACCCTGCTCTTTTCCTCTCTAGTGCACCTGACTTTCCCGTCCTAGCAATGAATGGTCCCTTTTTACCCTGAGTGTTTCTGTAGGTACTTCAGGATATGTGTTCACATCTGAAGATCTGGATCTTGGAATCTCAGATCAAAGAGACCATGATGTTTATCTTTCCATGCCTGGTTTACCTTAGTCGATATATTTTCTGGTTCCACTCATTTACCTGTGAAGTTTGTGATTTCTTTTGTCTTTACAGCTGAGTATGAGTAGTATTCCATAGTGTACTTGTATCACATTTTCATTATCCTTTCATCAGCTGAAGGACATTGAGGTGTTTCGGTTTCCTCACTCTTGTGACTAGATAGAGTAGTAGGCAGCAATAAACATGCTGAGCAAGTATCTGTGATATAGGACGTTGACTCCTTTGGGCATATACCAAGGAGTAGTTTGGCTCACTCATATGATAGATTTATTTTTAGCTTTTTGAGAATTCTCCACAGATTTGAGACTTCTAAATTTCCCTAACCAATTTGCAGTCCCGCCAACAATGAAGGAGGGTTCCCTGTAACAGCAACTTTTATTTGGCTGAGGTAATTGTCATTTTGGAGGCTCCCTGCCTCCCTCCATCTGCTAACCTAGGCCTATTCCTGGAAGCTTCTAAGCCTCCATATAATCTAATCTAGGCCTAGAATGTTTTCAGTCTCTGAGACTTACTGCTGAATAAGCTCACCTTCCCTAGCTCTTTCTGAACTCTGGCTGTTCTGGTCCAAACTCCTAGCCAAGCTGACTGATTCAATCTGGCTTCTCTCAGCTTCTGACTTTTTGCTCTGTTTTGCCTCAAACTACCTCTAGCAATCTGTTCTAATCTGGCTTCTTCTCATTCTCTGCTTTATTCTGTGTTCACCTTTATCTACCTTGTTGTACCTTCAACCTCTCTCTGTAAAACTTTCATGGTAAAAACTGCTTCTGGATTCCACAGACTGAACTGCTGAAATCTCAACTCCATTGCCCTACCTCTCAACTCAACCCAAGGAACTGCTTGAACAGAACTAACTAGAACTCATAGATCTGCATGTCTCTGTCTCCTGAGTGCTGGGATTAAAGGCCTGTACCACCATGCTTGGACCTAAGCTTTTTTTTCTCCTGGGATTAAAGGCACATGCCTCCCAAATGCTGGGATTACAGGTGTGAACCACCACCTGGCTATAGTGTCCTTATAATAGTTATTCTTATAGGATTGTCCTGGTTTAATTTTGTTCTCCAGTTCCCTCTACCTCACACTCCCTCTGGTATTTGGTGTCAATTGTTTTCTTGGTCTTTCCCATTCTAACTTGGGTAAGATGAATTCTCAAAATAGTTTTGTTTTGCATTTTTCCTAGTTGCTAGGGACAATGAACATTTTTGAGGAATTTTGGGCTTCTTATTTTTTTCTTTCTTTCTTTCTTTCTTTCTTT